CCCCTACTCTGCCCCCGCCATCTTCTTTCCTAATAGCCCGGCCGAAATGAGCCCCTCCGTGGACTCAAGTGCATGCTGCAGCACGCTCGGAAATGCAGTCTCGCAACGCATCGCGTTGTCGTCGGGACGTGACTGCTAACTAGACGTCTGAAAATAGCCGCGTTTGATACGCTTGGTTGCTGAGGAAGGCCGAGTGCTCCATCTACCACAAGTCTCAATCAGTGTCCTGTCCAAAAAGGACACCGTTCTCCTGTAGAGAACACTTGCTGATAAACAAGGAGGCCTCACAAAGCTCATGGAAAAGTGGAATTCGGAAAGATGTTCGCAGGCAGCACAAGAACTCGGAGGATCATCTCACAATAGTAGCAGGAAGCATTCCGGGTAAAGGGCAGCTGGTGGTGAAGTGGTTACACTCTGGGCTGCGAAGGTCAGCGGTTCAAAACCACCAGCTGCTTTCTACTCCCATGAAGCGTTTCAGAATCGGGAACATACAGGGCAGTTCTGTCCTGTCCTATAGGCTCGCTATGAGCCGGCATCCACTGGCAGGCATCGAGTGAGTTTTTTGCAAGAGCTCCACAAGACTCCCTTAGCTGGTCCGTCCCTCTTGTCAGGCAGAAGCGGGCGTTGGTGGGGCGAGCAAGTTGGCGGGGTGCCCAGACTGGTGACCACACCAAGGACGCTGCAAGAAGCCAGCCTCCCCCTCCCCTTCGTTGGCCTTCCAGACCCCGTGCAGAAAGATAACTGCTACCGATAACTTTGAACACTGTTGCTTAGCCCTGGATCTGCAGACAACAAAGTTGCAGTGGAAAATTCCCCAGCTATTCCCTCCCCGCAGGCCCCGGCTATAAAATTCAGCACCTCTTGCTCCCATCCCTTTCTCTGTACTCCCCTCCCTCCCTCCTGGACGGTGTGACTTCTCAGGCCCCAATTTAGGGGCCGTGATCCTCACCCGGGACCTCTGAAATAAACCTTGGAAGCTGTTTTCTGCCTTTGCCTTCTTTCTTTCTTTCCAGGGCCAAACCTACCTTACACCTCTCAGTTCCCTAACCCATCCAATGAGGCTAACAGCAAGTACTTCTCTCACATTTAATGGGTGGCATGCACTAAATCATCTTTCAGGATGTAAAGCTAGGAAGCCTGGTAGCACAATGGTTAAGCCCCAAACTGCAAAATAGTAAGTCAATGTTCCACACACTACAGCCAGCAATCCGCCGCTGTTGAGATCCAAACTGTTAAGATCCAGTCTGACTCTCAGCGACTCTGTATCAAAGGGTAGAACTGACCCTGTGGGTTTCCGAACCTGTGACTCTCACAGGAGTGAAAGCCCTGTCTTTCTCCTGACCATCGCCAGGGGTTTCCAACTACTGGCCAACACGGACTTCTGTCCATTGGGGTCCCTGCTTCTAAGTACTGCCTGGGACACCCGTGGGGCAGTTCTGCTGTCCCACAGGGTGACCTGAGTCGGGGTCGACTGGTTTGGTTGTACAGTAAGGATGAGGATGGTCACCTCGCTTGTACTGGGCGCCCACACACTAGTCTCATGGTGAAAGGAGGAGTCGGGTAGAAGCTGCACTCCACTCGGCCGTGCCTGAAGGAAGGCGTCTGCCTAGAAAGATTAGACGACCGAAGGCAGTCAGCGGAAGCGCAGAACCAGTGGGAGGACTTGGAGGTGTGGGCA